GGCTATCTGTGGATGGGTTAATTTCTGGATTCTCGATTCTGTTCCATTGATCAATGTATCATTCACTGTAGCAGTGTAGCAGGTTTTGAGATCGGGGAGTGAGAGGCTTCCAACCTTCTTCTTCTTCTTAAGCAGTGCTTTGCTTTTCCTGGGTCTCCTTCCTTTCCATATAAAGTTTGTAATTGTCTTTTCCATCTCTTTGAAGAACATCACTGAAACCTGGATTGGGATTGCATTATATGTGTACATTGCTTTGGGCAGTATTGACGTTTTCACGATGTTGAGTATTCCTATGCAGGAACGTGGTATGTTCTTCCACTTTTTTAAGCCCCTTTTGTAATTCTCTTTGTATAGGTCCTTTGTTTCTCTGGTAACATTTATTCCTAAATATTTCATCCTTTGGGTGGCTATTGTAAATGGTATTTCCTTCCCAACGTCCTTTTCAGCGCTGTCACTGTTACTACAGAGGAAGCCAACTGACTTTGTATGCTGTTCCTATAGCCTACCACCTTGCTGAATCTTTTGATGAGATCTAGTAGGTTTTTTTACTGACTTTTGGGGGTTTTTCTATGTATAGGACCATATCGTCTGCAAATAGAGAGAGTTTTATTTCCTCTTTGCCAACTTGGATGCCTTTAATTTCTCAATCTTGCCATGTAGCTCTGGCTAAGACTTCCAAAACAGTATTGAACAGGAGTGGTGACAAAGGGCATCCTTGTCTGGTTCCTGTTCACAGAGGGAAGGCTTTCAGTTTCTCTCCACTGAGAATGATGTAGGATGTTGGGTTTTGTATATATGCTCTTGATTATGTTGAGGAATTTCCCTTCAATTCTTACTTTGTTGAGTGTTTTTATCAGGAATGGATGTTGGATTTTGTCAAATGCCTTTTCTGTATAAATCGATATGATCATGTGGCTCTTTTTCTTATTTATGTGGTGGATTACAATGATTGTTTTTCTAATGTTGAACCATCTTTGCATCCCTTTTATGAAACCCACTTGGCAATAATGTATTATTTTTTCTGATGGGCTGTTGGATATTCTGTTGGCTAGAATTTTGTTGAGAATTTTTGCGTCTATGTTCACAAGGGATATTGATCTATATACTTTCTTAGTGACATCCTTCCCTGATTGCTTCATAAAAAGTATTAGGAAGTTTTCCGTCCTCGTCTGTATTTTGGGATAATTTGAGTAGAATTGGTGACAGCTCTTCCCTGAATGTTTGGCAGAACTCACCAGTGAAGCCATCTGGGCCTGGACTTCTTTTGATTGGGAGTTTTTTGATGACCTGATCAATTTCTTCTTTCGTTATGGGTCTAATCAAAGTTTTCTACTTCACTCTGTGTAAGTTTTGGTAGGTCATGTTTTTCTAAAAACGCACCCATCTCTTCTAAGTTTTTGAATTTGTTGGAGTCCAACTCTTCATATTATTCTGTTATTAGTCTTTTTATTTCATTTGGTTTCCTTGTGACATCACCCATCTGGTTTCTAATGTGAGCTATTTGTGTCCTCACCCTCTTTTCTTTTGTTAGGTTTGCCAATGGTTTGTCAATTTCATTAATCCTTTCAACAAACAAGCTTCTTGTCCTGGTGATTCTTTCTAGAGTTTTTCTGTTTTCCATCTCATTTATTTCTGCTCTTATCTTTATTACTTCTTTTCTTTTGGTGACTATAGGTTCCCTCTGTAGGTCAGTTTCTAATCGTTGGCGATGTTGTGTTAACGTGTTAATTTTGGGTCTTTCTTCTTTTTAATGTGCGCATTCATCACAATAAATTGTCCTCTCAGCACCACTTTTGCCGTGTCCCAATGATTTTGGTATGTTGTGTTTTCATTCTCATTTGTTTCTAGGAACGTTATGTATTCATGTTTAATGTCTTCTTTTACCCAGTCGACTTTTCAGCAGAGTGTTGTTCAGTTTCCATGTATTTGACTTTATTTCCTTAGTCTTCTTGTTGATTTCTAGCTTTATAGCATTGTGGTCTAAAAAGATGCTCTGTAGTATTTTGATGTTTATGCATTTATGGAGGCTTGCTTTGTGACCTAACACATGGTCAATTCTGGAAAATGTTCCATGTGCACTGGAGTAGAAAGTACATTATGCTGTTGTTGGGTTGAATGCTCTGTGCACGTCTATGAGGTCCAGTTGGTTGATTGTGTTGTTTAGTTCCTCTGTAACTTTGTCAAGTTTCTTTCTGGTTGTTCTCTTCCGTTTTGAAAGTGGTGTATTAAAATCTCCCACTATAATTGTAGATTCATCTATTTCTTTCTTCAATTCTAGTCAGGTTTGCTTCATATATCTTTGTGCTTTCTCATTGGGAGCACAGCTATTGATTATGGTTATGTCATCTTGCTCAAGTGACCTTTTGATCATGAGATAGTGTCCTTCTTTATCTCTCATGCTGGTCTTTGTCTTAAAGTTGACTTTATCAGAGATTAGAAGTGTCACTCCTGCTTGTTTATTGTTGCAGAAAGCTTGGTATGTTTTTCCCATCCTTTAACTTTTAGTCTGTGTTTGTCTTTGTGTGTACGGTGTGTCTCTTGCAGGCAGCATATTGAAGGGTCTTGTTTTCTTATCCAATCTGCCACTCTCTGTCTCTTCACTGGTGCATTCATTCCATTAATAGTCAATGTAATTATTGATAGGTATGAATTAATTCTACCCCCTAATTTTTAACAGCATTTTCTTAAAAACTATAAAGTGGATACTAATCCACTGTTTAGTAATGTGGAAACTATAGTAAAACACAAAGAGAAAAATTTAAATTATACTCCCACTACCCAGAGGTAGGACTCCTGGTGAGGCAAAGTAGGGTCAGCACTGGACTGCAAACCACAAGGTCGGCAGTTCAAATCTACCAGCTGCTCCCAGGAAACCCTATGCAGGATAACTATGAATCGGCACAGATGGCTGGCACTTAACTACAACAACCACCTAGAGGTAAGCACCACTGTCATAACGATTATATATGAAGTTTCAATCACCCTGCACACACGGCTCTGTACTTTTTATAACATAGCCCAACTTACTCATTATACCTAAGTAATATTCTAACAGAGTCCTGGTGAGCTGCTGCTGGTTAATGCACTGGACTGCAAAGTCAATGTGAACCAAGGTCACCAGCCGCTCCTCGGAGGCGACTCGATGGCACTAACAGCAATCACTGCACCGGACACATTTAACCAGCACCCCAGGATTGCCACCTATCTTTAAATCCCCAAGACAGCAGAGTTGCTGATTCTAACAGAAAGGTCTAGATTCCTCATGAAGAGACCACAATACAGGCCATTCAAAAAAGGTCCAACTTGTGTGGCCCAAAATAGCTGGCCACCTTCTGTCTTCAAAAAGATTTGGCCACAATTAAGACTAGGTCTCTGATAACTACCACAACAACTGGGAGAAAAACATTTCCTGAGTCAAGTTCAGAAAGCACAAGGCCTGGAAAAAACCCAGGTGATGGGGCTGGTAACGTGCGGTGTTTTCAGAAGGAGGTGTTCCCAGTCACCAAAGCACAGACCCGGCCCACTGTGCCCGAGATTCTGAAACCGACCCCCACTCCCAGCTAAAGGTCCAGGAGCTGCTGCCAAGGCAGCGACTGTGGGGAGTAAGAAAACAACCGGACTAGTTTAGAGGAGAGCTTCAGAACTCCAAAGAGGGTGAGCTCTGAGAATCAGTCCGCAGCTGTGACCCTGTGGAGAGCCCACCCTGAGAGCAGACAGAGCAGGAAGACGAGAGACACTTCCTCCCACAATACCTTCCTCTGCCCTGCCCAAGCTTTCCCCTGGCTTTGATTGGGCTACATGAATGTCTACCATTTAGAAAGTCACATGCGTAGAACAATTTCCAAAACCTCTGAAAAGACTCAGAAACTTAAGAATGATATCAAAGCCATCCTCAAAACTCACCACTGCTATTAGCCTCTGAAACTACAAGACAGACATTCATGACTTCTTTCTCAGCATGTGTCATTGACTATATTTTTCACAAAAGCTGTTAAGAGATTTCAGCATGTTTTGAGAATTGATGACTGTATTTTATCCTATATTAACAGCATCAATAACAACAATTTGTAGAAATGTACGAATATGTCATTGACAATTTAGATAATGAATTTGTTTTTTTTTTAATGAGATGTCTTTTAAAGCACTCACTCCTGAGGAACTACGTGCTTATCAGACACTTCCCACACTAGCACACTCTAGAGTGTTTGGAATGCAGCTAGCACTGAACCACAGCACGGTCAATGAGCTCTATCACAGAGACAAAGAAAGAGATCACATGTCCAGTGTAACCGAACTAGTCACTGTACACACAGGGGCCCCACAGCATGGCCAACGTGTGACGTGCGCTACACATGAGGGGCTTCTAGAACAACTGCAGGCAGTAGGGGCCAGGCCTCAAAAGACACCCACAGAGTCACTCCCAAGTACACCATTTACTTGACTTCTAGAAAGTAGAGTTCACTGTAACTTTCAAGGACTTTGTTTGAAATAAGTATGAAAGGCCATCCCTTGTTGAAATATTTTGAGGCCTGCTGGTGAAAAGGAACCCGAAAGCCCACGGTCACCAGTAAAGGGGAAAAGACAGCGCTCCAACAACGCCTAAATGGCAACAGCTTAGAAAGGAAACCTAAGGGAGCAGCTTTCTGCCATCTTCAGGAAAATTCAGCTGAGGCCTACATCAAAAATAAGGAGCAAAACAAGTTAGTCTTGACCCTGCCCCTTCATCTGTAGTCACCAAACAAAGCCAGCAATATGCCCAGACACGAAATCACCAGGCACAGGGCACAGAAAGGGAGTGAATCTTCTGCATCAAGTGGTTCATGGTCCCGACCAGACTCATCCCTTTGGTTCAGACACTGATGTGTGTTCTTTTCAAAGACCCTGGTCTCTCAACAGAGCCATCAGTACCACCCCCAAGTTCTCCAAAAGGGACTGAGACTGAGGAGCCCCAGATGGGCCTGGAGGCTGCAGGAGAGGGAGGCCTGGCTGCCCGAGAGTACCTGAAGTGCTGTAGGACGACGAGGATGGGGTTCTCCGGGAGAAGCTCTTGACGGCCAGGCTCTGGCCTCGCTGCTTCCGCCGCCAAGCTGTTCGACACTTGGAGTCGATGCTCTGTTTGATTCGATACCAGTCAGATTCTGTGATTCCAAATTTATAGAAGAGGTGACCTGAAAAGAACACACCCCAAGTGAACACACTAAGAAGTAAAGGCCACCTTGTCATGTGGGACAGACCCTGAGGTAAGGGTCACCTCCTGGTGTGGAACACATCCTGAGGTAAAGATCACCTTCTGGTGGAACACAACGTGAGGTAAAGGCCACCTTGTCATGTGGGACACATCTTGAGGTAAGGGCCGCCTTCTGGTGTGGGACACATCCTGAGGTGAAGATCGCCTTCTGGTGGCCACCTCATCATGTGGGACACACTGTGAGGTAAAGGCCTCCTCGTCATGTGGGACACATCTTGAGGTAAGGGCCACCTTTTGGTGGAAAATAATGTGAGTTAAACACCACCTAGTCATGTGGAACACATCATAGGTTAAAGGTTATCTTCTTGTGTGGGATACACTGTGAAAGCCACTTTCTCATGTGGGACACTTTGTGAGGGAAAGGCCACCTTCACCTGTGGGAAGCAACTTCAATGCAAAAGGATGATTACGGCTAAGATCCTCACCTACAGCATGGAGTTGTCTTCCAACCCTCTTTGAAAATAATCCAGAAAGTCAATTTTAGAAGTCAGTATCATTAACTAGCCAAGATCAGATACAACATTTTCTGAAGCCTAATCACAAAGTCTTTGTTGAATCAATGATTCATGAAACTCTATTGGTCAACAAGAAAATGATGAAAGAAATTCAGAATTTTAGTAATAAAAATATTCATATAAGAAACATTCTATTAAAAAAAAATTCTTCGTTGGTTACCAGTTGGGTTGGGGTGAGGGGATTTGGGGGAGGTGGAGGGAGGGGATGGTAGAGCATAGGGTAGTGGGAAGACACATCATAGTGCGGGTGTTGGGGAGGGCACTACACAAGAAGGGGGAGGTGGTGGAAAAACAAGGAAGATAGGGGAATACTGAGACAGGTTTGCATGGGCTAAATGGGACAGAGGTAAATAGTGATGTATGCTCAACCATGGAACAACAGGGCTCTGTGATACAGGGATCAAGGCATAGTCTGAAGAGGGGAAATAATGCTAAGATGCTTGACTGTCTTGTGAATACTAGTTTCCCTTGCCTACACTTGTAAAATAGACACTTGGGTGGGATAGAAAGGAATGTCGAGAAACATGATTACAGAAAGCTTGTTAGCCCGTCTTCAGCCCATAACTGATTGGAATACCTAAAAGGGGTGCTAGAACTTGCCCAGTGAAATAGGCCTCTTGCAGAACCTTTGCAGTGTATAGGACCTTAGGTGGAATCCTGAGCCCCATCCAGAACCTTCTGAGGTGGGACATTCCCACTAGAAAGGACAAGCAGACCAGCCTGGAACAGCTAGAGCAACAGAAGATACATCATCAAAGAAAGAGCAGCAGGAAAAACCCAAAACAAAAATGACAGTATGATTGGCTTCTATAAGAACAAGCAAATTGTTTGACCTATACTTATGGATGTAATAGCTCAAAATACCAACTGAGAAAGAAGGAGTCTTCACATCAAGTATTATCAGTCCTATCCCCTCAGTATGAGGGTATATAGGGATGGGTAACTTAGATATTGGCTACCTAAAATGAGGAGGCTATAAAGGCACGAAGTGACTGGCTTACAAGTTTTGAAGAGGGAGTTTAGATTGAGTGTGCGGGGGAATGTAGAGTCCCCAATGAATAATTTTCATCTTGTCTAGATAGGTCTGGTGAAAAGATACAGGGATAAGATTCTTATGATTCGATAATGAGAAATTGTTGCTCTTCCCATAAGCAGCCTGAGGTAATCTCACAAAATGGATTGCTACTCACTTGACCCAGACAACCCCACAAAATCATGCAAATCCAGAGGTTCAAATCTCCAGGTCCATTTTAAGAACACCCATGAGACTGCCCAGGCCATCAAGGGTACACATATCCAGAAAGCCACCAAGTATCTGAAAGGTGTCACTTTGCAGAAGCAATGTGTACCATTCTGACGTTACAATGGTGGCGTTGGTAGGTGTGCCCAGGTCAAACAATGGAGTTGGACACAACCTAAAATGTGTTGAAGTTTTGCAGCACATGCTTAAAAATGCAGAGAGCAATGCTGAACTGAAGGGTTTATATGTGGATTCTCTCGTCATTGAACACAGCCAGGTCAACAAAGCCCCAAGACGCGCCGCCGAACTTACAGAGCTCATGGTCGGGTCCACCCCTACATAAGCTTGCCCTGCCATGCTGAGATAATCTTCGCTGAAAAGGAACAAATTGTTCCTAAACCAGAAGAGGAGGTTGCACAAAAGAAAAAGGTATCTCAGAAGAAACTGAAGAAACAAAAACTTATGGCTCGGGAGTAAATTAAACTTCAAATCAAATGGAAATACACAAGGACACCCGCACGTGCAGATGGTACCCACCTGACCTGACTTCAATGACTGGATGATCAGAGCTCAACCAGAGGAAGAAAAAAGAGGAAAAAAAGAGTGAGCTGATACAATTCGATGAACGTCAAGTACCTATGGATGCAGTAGCTCAAAAGAGGGAACAAATCCTTACAGCAAGAATCATTCCCACCCCCTCCACACACAGAGTAGACAGGGATGGGCAACTTG